GCGGGGCGCTGCGTGCAGCGGCGCGCAGGGAGGCGGTGAGCGCGTGCAGAGCAGCCGGATCCGAGGACTGTGTGTGCGTGTGTTTGCGCGTGTTTTTTGCTTCTTCCCTCGAGCATGTGAACGGTTTCGCAGCTTGCTGGCTCCCTTAGGATCCTGGACTTTGGGGAGCTCTGGGCTGTGAGCTCAACCCATCCCGATAATCCATTTTGCACGGTCGGTTATATAGGGGCAGAAAAGCGCAACTGGACGGGGGTGGGGCAGACTCACGAAACCTTCTGGAAACACACACACACACACACACACACACACACACACACACCACACACGAGAGAGAGAGAGAGAGAGAGAGAGAGAGAGAGAGAGAGAGAGAGAGAGAGAGAGAGAGAGAGAGAGAACCGAAAGACTTGAGAAGACTTTGAAAACCTCTCTGCTGGCCCTTCGGTTTTCTGGAAAGATCCTGAATGTCTGTTACCTTTTCAAGTCATCTTGGCTTTTCTCTAGTGTTTTGTAAGCCGCTTTCCAGTTAGCTGTGTGTGTGTGTGTGTGTGTACGTGTGTACGTGCGCGCTTATCTGATGCATTTGACTGTCTTTTATCTGACTGCCCAGAAGCAAATGTGGTAACTCGGTGATGCCTCTCCATGCCCGGGTTCTCGCGGAGCGCAGAAGACGCCCAGACCCATTTCCCCGGCTGGATTCGGAGCGGCTGCCAGGCTGTGAACCCAGGTGTGTGGATCGCTTTACCCAGAGGCTTGGAAAGCGCCAGTATTAACCTGGTTCCAGGTACATCACAAGGTCAAGAGAGGGTCTTGCAGCCCTCTTGTTCCCGTGCATCTAGACCTTCTTGTCTTGACCAGAAGGATCTTCACGTTTCGGTGCACAGCGTTTGAAGCCAAAAGTTCAGCCTTTCGAGCTGGTTTGCTATACACACAAGGTAATGTGGATTGCTTTTCAAACTGCTTAACAAAATCCTGGACTCTCTTCCTCAGCCCTTTCCTGGCTCCTTCCTCCCCACCAAAATGTCACCAGCTCTTGAATTACGTGGATTTGGTTTGGAAGAGAACTTGAAGGAAACGTGATTAAAAGGCTATGCGAGAACGCTCTCTTTGCTGCCTACGGTCCGGTGGGCTTCGAAGCCGTTCGTGAGAAGGACCGGCTCCCCCCAACCCCTCGCTTCTCCCTCCCGGTGCAGTGCTGGGTGTGCGTGTGCAAGTGTGAGTGCAAGTGCGCGCGCGCCCGGTTGCGAGTGTGTGTGAGTGTGAGCGTGTGTCTGTGTGTGCGTGCGCGGCCGCCCTGCCTCTGCCCGCTCCCCGGGCGCGGAGAGCCACGGGTTTCATGGGGCGATTGCCGCGGATCCCCCACCCAGCGCGACCTGCGGGCAGCGGCGGCTG